TGTAAAACTTTTAACTTTATACATTTTTCTGTATTGCTTTATTGCATTTAAATGTTCAGTTATTTTTGTTATAAGAAAAAAGTTATTAAACCTGTTATACTGTATTATGACAGCACTTTTTTTAACTAAATTTCAATATTGTGATAATACCGTGATAAAAACATTAGCAATTAATCGCAACATGAAAATTTGATACCGGCATATCCCTAATTGATGGTAGCCAAACAGTTTTGGTTCCCATTGACTTCACTGCAAAAAATGCTTTTCTAGCTTAGATCTTTTGTCTTGTTTCCAGCCAAAATATCAAAAAATTCTTAAATCAAGAAGGATTTTCTAGACAAGTAAAAATTATTGTCTTGTTTTCAGAAAAGTCGAATTCAATCGAGTTTTTGCTTGAAACAAGCAAAATAATCTGCCAATGGGGTAAGAAAAATAATCTTGTTTTCTGTTTGAAACAATATTATTTTTCTTACCCCATTGGCACATTATTTTGCTTGTTTCAAGCAAAAACTCACTTAATTTTGACTTGTTTTTTCTGAAAACAAGACAATAATTATTACTTGTCTAGAAAATCCTTCTTGATTTAAGAATTTTTAGATATTTTGGCTGGAAACAAGACAAAAGATCTAAGCTAGAAAAGCATTTTTTGCAGTGTTCCATTGTATTTTTTGTCCATACATTGTTTGGTTACCAACATTCTTCAAAATATCTTCATTCATGTTGTACAGAGGAAACAAATGCATACAGGTTTGAAATGACTTAAAGGTGAGGTAACAATGACAGAGTTTTCATTTTTGGGTGAACGATCCCTTTAAACTCTTAAAAAGCATGTCTCTATTGAGAGGGGGAACTATGACGTCAGAAACCGGAAGAGTAATTTGCCGTGGGCTCCTTTCGAGATTTTCCTATGGGGTTTTATAATGACACTTTTCAATTTATGTGGTAAACATAACTTGACGATACTTTTACGTTTTCTTCTACAAAGTAAACAGCACACACTCACATCCAAAACATTCTTATCTAGTTACTTATTAAAAACATACGTTTTCAAAAACGAACAGCTTCAAAATATGGTATGGATGCGTGTCATTTACATTTTAGAACAAAACGTAAAAGTATCGTCAAGTTATGTTTACCACAGGCTTTATTTTACTCATAAATTGAAAAACCCCATTATAAAACCCAATAGGAAAATCATAGTTCCCCCACTCTATATCATGTTTTTTTTTCCCATTTCATTCCACGACCCTGCATTTTGCAATTTCAAACACAAAAATGTGGCCCCTAGGACTGAATAATACAAAAGGTTTGCTTTAATGTGTAAATAGGGCAATTTAGGGTAATGTGGGACATCTAAGGTCTGACGCGTCAAATGAGGAAATCAAAACGAAGTTAAATTAGATACTTAAGAATAACATTATTTTAAACAAGATGCTGAAGCATGTTAACTGAAATATTGTGTACCTTAATGAGATAGCGTGTAATGTCCCGTCCTGCAATGTCCAGTCTCCTTGTAAGATGGGGCAGAGAGAAGCCCTCATACACAGGACAAATATGGGTGACGCCATCGCCTGAATCCACCACCACCCCTGTCAACAGGCCTGGGTGTAGCACAACACACAAATACTGATACAACGTCTGAAATAAGTGACACACTGATAGTTGACACACTAGCTACAATAAAATGTTTGTGGATAAACATCGGATAACTCACCTTGAGCATAAAGTGTAAGAACAGCCTGGATGGCGATGTAAACACCTGCAAACTGGTATGTCTCAAACATGACCTAAAGGACAGTGGGACATATTAAGAAAAATCATTATAATAACACCAGACCCCTTATTAGCCCAGTTCAAATAGAATTTCCTTTCTGAATAGTTATGCTGCTCATCACAGATGTATGTATATCAGCTATTTTACAACACTGTCAAAAAAACTATTTATCCAGTTTCAGTGCATAAGTGTTGGATTTCCTCTGAATGTGTGAAACTTCATTCATACAGTCACTATAGCTAAAAAGAAGCAGTAAACGGTAAAACTATTTGACCTACAAACCAGTGTAATGATTACAATAATACATTCAAATAATATAATATGATAACAAATACCAGTTTGCAACATTAAGCAGCATAACAGACTATTTTTGTACAGCTAAAAATAACTGGAAGCCCCATACATTCAAGTTACAAAAAACGAACTTCTACCCACTATTTAAAAATGGCACCGTTAAACAATGAGGATTAAAAAGTCACGAGTTTTTGAAATGTTGGGGGGAAAAAATAGACAAAAGGCTTTTTCCTCACCATGTCTGAAGTGACAATGACAAAAACATAAAATACAGTACTGTTCAAAGGTTTCTGTAAGATTTTTAAAATGTTTTTGAAAAAGTCTCTTATGCTTACCAAGGCTGCATTCATTTGATAAAAAATAGAGTGAAAAAAGTAACGTTGTGAAATATTATTACAATTTAAAATAACCGTTTTCTATTTGAATAAAATGTAATGTATTCCTGTGATGCAAAGCTGAATTTTCAGCATCATTCACATGATCCTTCAGAAATCATTCTAACATGCTGATTTGCTGCTCAAGAAGCATGTATTATTTATATCATTGTTAAAAACAGTTATGCTGCTTAATAATTTTAGTGGAAACCGTGATACAGGATTCTTAGATTTTTCATGATTCTTTGATGAATAGAATGTTCAAAAGAACAGCAATTATTTGAAACAGAAATGTTTTGTAACAACATCAAAAGTCACTAAATACATCCTTGTTGAATAAAACTAGGATGTAACTAGACTATTTTTAGACTACTCAGTAAAAATCTTCCAAACTTTTGAATGGTAGTGTATATTCACAGTTTGTGGCATCAAAACTGTCCAAACTATTGGGAGGCTCGGCCAAACTTGTGTCATACTAATTTCCAGATCAGATACTTAAATTACCACAGACCACAGGAACCAGACGAGTCCTCTGCACAATGTGACATTGCTGCAGCCTGGAATTGAACTGCTGGTT